TAAAAAGCACGGTTTTGAAAAAACTTGAGTTTTGTTTTAGCAAAATTTGGTACAAGTAATCGTCGGGAAGAGTTAGTAAATTGTATCCTAACACACATCCAAAGTTAAAAATCTACTATTATGTTCCTTATATTAGCAATTATAATAATGCCTTACATTTATCTTTTCAACCCAATATTGAATTCGTAACAGTAAATGATAGTAAATATTCCTTCTGCATTTCTCAGTTCAGTACACTTTTAATAATAAATTAATGCTTTGATTCATTCTTTTCAATTCTATTCTATAGTCGTAATAAAAAATAAAAAACTTTAGTAAGTCCTAATTTCACCAGTAAGTTTTTTTCACTATTAACTATATAGTTACGAATAATTACTGATTTGGACTGAATGGTTTTACCATAAAATCTTGAAAGACAGGTTCCTGAAAGGACCTAATACCGACAAAGTTAGCTAGCATTAGTTATAATGCTAGTCAATTTAGTCGGTATTATGTTCTTTCAGGAAAATGGCTTTCGAGATTTTGTGGTAAATATAGTATACAGATCTCATCATTGACATTGTGAAAAAGGTAGAAATTCTGATTACCGAGAATCATTTCTATAGCACACGACTAATGTGAAGGTGACTCGAAAGAGGTGAACGTGAATTAAGCAATAAAAGATCAGTAAATCAGTGTCTTGAGTGATTGCACGTGAGGCTATTATAAAAACTGCCTAATCATACTACACATATATAATTGCTATTAAACTGCATTCATTATCTGTTATTACTACAATTCTTAGCTAATAAGTTTTCTCTTATGTTATTACTTGATGCTATAATTTACATTTAGGACCCCTTTTCACTTTGGCCTTTCTTATAAATTTATAGCTTTTGCCCCATACATCATCTCTATAATCATTATTTCGCCAACTAGTAAATTATTCTCTTGGTCATAACTTCCCCATCTAGTATTAGTCTCTTATTCATTATACTCACCATCATTTTTCCAACTAGGCTTATTTCTAAAGTTATTTCCTCGATTATTTTGCTAGTTAGCATCTCGACCATTATTTTTTCGATCACCTCTCCGACTATTATAAGTATCTCGTTCTTCCGTCAAGGCCAGTTCGTGGAAGTTGTCAAACTTCTATTTTCAGTATTGGAGCACGTAACATAATTGCATTCGAGATATTGATTAGTTCTAAGCAAAATAATTTTGGCTTTTTAAAGGGAATAAGTTAATTTATCGCATTTATAATTTATTAATAGTTTATCAAACTAATTTATTGTTTAAACTTACAGTAACTCGCAAATGGCATGCTAAATTACAAATACTTAAAGATGAATAAGGTAATATTTTATATTCATGCTAATTGACATTTTGCAAGACAAATGCGCTAATAAAAATGTGCACTCTTATATCGCTAGGATTAATGAGTTTGATGATTGACGATGAGTAAGGGTTAGTAGTGAGGTTAATGATATGGTTGGTGATTAGTTAGATTTAGCATAATTTGGGGATAAGTTAGTTATAGAGTTATTTTCATTATATTATAATGTATATATCTAAAATGAACCTTAATTTAGGTACTCTAAATCATAAATAAAATGTATAATTCATACCGATTTGACAATAAAAAATAGTATCTAATCTTTGTAGCCAATAAAAAAGAACTGTTATACTATGAACTGTTATAACTGTTAATTATTAACAGTTAACCATTATTTATTGCACTATATAAGGCCGTTATGGCATTACTGATCTTGTTGAGAAAAATAACCATTACTATGCTATATAAGCTGTTATACCATATCACTGTTAACAATATGTTTAATAGTTTTAAGGGGTCAGGGTTTTGGATATGAGGCTGTTATGACATCACAATTTAAAGAGTAATATAACCGTTAATAAAAGGTTAACAGTTTTAAGGGGTCAGGAGTTTTGCATATGAGGCTGTTATGATGTCATAATTTCAAGAGTAATATAACCATTAATGAAAGATTAACGGTTTTAAGGGTCAAGGGGTATCATAACTTTAAGAGTAATATAATTTAATTAAAAACAGGAGGTTCTGAGTCCCTATATTTTTAAGCCGTTAGATTCCAGTTACCTGGGTCTGAGGGGGGTAAGTGAAAGCTCCCTTACCTTTAGAAGCGGTAAATAAATTTAAATTTTATCTAATTTATGTTATAAGAAGTAGGCTTAAAGAACACTTTAAGTAGTCGGGCAAACAAACTCTTTCTTTTCCATGTTTAGAAAGCTTGTTTTTTGGGATTTTTGAAGGGTACATTCATTACTTTAATTATAAAAATGGCAGTTATAGGTGCTTTTTTCAGGGACCAAATGTGTATTTGCAATTAGCAACCTTCTTAATGATCAAAATTGGGAGCAAAATTTTTTTGATAATAGCCATTAAACGTTTGTTCTGTTATTTGATGCACAAGCTGAAAAAAGAGAACAATATAAAAAAAAGCACCGTTTACCAAAATTAATGATTGAATGGAAAACAAAGAGCCAAAAGGATGCAAAAAATAATCAAGCTATAGCTGGATATATATATTTGAGCTTTTATACATTACAAGTTTAATATTCTTGTAATATAATAAAAATTTTAATAATAAATTGTTGAATTGTCCATATATGTAATAATCAATACATTTCATATTGTTTATTAAATTTGTGATAAGATTTGATTTTTATAAAAAAATTACAAGAAAAATTTTTATTAGAGCGTAAAAGTCAGTTTGTTATGCAAATTTTTTGAATTATGAATGATTTTTAAAAACGGTCAATTTTTTACCCTGATCATATTACATTTATTGATCATAATTAAGTCATTGACATGTGACGTTTTTACCCTGATCATATTACATTTTATTGATCATAATTAAGTCATTGACATGTGATGTTTATTAAACTCATGATCAATAATATGATCACTTTAAAGTACCGTTACTAATGTGATCGTATGAAAAAAGATTTTTTAGTTTTCATTTTCTTTGATATGAAGATGCTGAGGTTTAGGTCTCAATTCATCAAATTTTAAGCTATAAAGATCAATTTTCATAATTGAGCATCTCAAAAATTGCGAATTTTCTTTCTGCCCCATTGCCGCCATTTTTCATTGTTTTTCTAAAAAAGATTAAGACCTGATTATGATTCTTTTTCTCAACAGCACTACAGGAAATGCAGCAAACCCTAATAAAAAAAAAAAAAAGATTAATACAATTGATGCAATTAGCATTAGGAGTTTTAGAATTAACTTATTTCAAATTAAATTAGATAAATATCTACTGGTAAAGCAATTATGCAAATAAGTATACAGTCAGACATCTCTAAATGCACCCTCTCGGGATCATAGAAAAAAACTTGAAAAGTGTGTACTTAGAGAGAATGTTTATTTATAGAGAGCAAAATATATAAAGCTCTTTAAAGAAAATTTACATAATCTGTGCACTTAGGGAAGTGCATTTATAGAGGTCTGATGATATATACTTTTGAAAAATAGGATTCATGATTAATTCTATAATTAAATATGGGGAATAGCATAAATACTAAAATTTCGATGACAAGCTATAAACTCTGGGATATAATTAATTAAAACATGTATGTATGAAGTTATATCTTTTGAGTGATAAAGACCTTTCTTAAAGGATATTGTATTTGGTTCACCTTTATAAGGTGTAAGAAATAAGTCGAGCCATTTTTTTGCTTGACCTGCAAAAAAAGATGAATCAGTTCCTGGTTGCTTCATAAGTTTGTAAAGTGCATAAAAGTCTCTCACAAACGATTAATTAATGTGACCCGCTCTTTATCAAAAATAACATCAAAGTTAAAACTGTGCAATATCTTTTTCTTGTCATCTCTCATTAGTGGAGTATAATTCCAGTTTTCCGTATTATGTTTTTGCCAAAAATAAAATTTTATTGAAATTCTATCCATCTCTCTGACAATAACTTTTCTATTATATTCGTCATATCTACATTCGAATTTAAGCTCCTGGATAACTAATTCCCATAATCTGTTATAAATTCTTAACATAACGTGGAGCTCGTAAAGTACATAATGATCCAGAGAGATCATTGGGATGAAAGGTGCTTTTGAATACCCAGGTAGTGGTCTTGCAGCTTTAATTTGTTCTATATTTTTTTCAATAGTGTAAACTTTATCTTTACCTATATCCTTTTTAGTGCACAAGCACCAAGGACAAAAATAAGTCGCATTTGGCGCATTGAACCTCAAGATTATGCACATAAATTTCTAATCGCTACTAAAAAAGGGCACTATTTTCCATTTGATTCCAGTAAAATTGTCTAACCTATTTTTTATTAGATTATCCAATTCACTAATTACCAGTGCTGTTACCTTCTTTAAAAGATCATAGTTTTCTAACCCAGGGCATAAAACAATCATATGGTGATAATCAGCATTGTAAAAATTTGATATATCATCTAGAATCACACATGTAATCATTACATGCTTGATTTTTCTACCTATGTTTCTACCATCACCTGATATGTGGATATGAATTACAGGATTATTTATATTTAAAACTTTACGATCTACAAGGCCTAGAATTAAAAAGAGTAATATGTCCTTATATGTTAATAGCCTGTCTTGCTGATATATTTTAGTATCTCTTCTTCAATTTCCAGATCATTAATATGGAATGACTTATTTGTAGCTATAAATATAAGAGATATGTCTGTAATATTTAAAATTGAAATAGGAATTTGTTGACTCATCTCTCCATTAATTTTTTTCCTAGTATTTAAAATGGCGTGATCACGTGGTAGTTCATATTAAAGAGCAGCTAACTTTCTATAAGCATCTCTAGAAATTGGACTTTGATCAATAATTTTTGTAATCATTTCAGTATGTTGATTATTTTTTTCTCTATTTTTATAAAAACTAAAACATAATTCTTCTCTTGAACATTAAATCATAACTCTTGAAGGGCTGGTTGATCAACCGGATTATAGAACTTTGGAATTACATTTTTAAAGGCAGTACCAACTTGTATTGAAAATACACAGGAACATTTGGTTTTCATAGACTTGCTTAACATGTGAAATGGTTTGAAAGAACAAGAATAATTTTTTTTTCTTGCTCTTTTTCTACGTCTATTGCATTAAGCCCAAACGTGTGAACCCCAGAAATTTTGGCTTGCGTATTTGGGTTTCTTTTCTATATGAATAAAATAATAGAATTTGATTTATTTATTTTTTTTTATAAACTTATACATATATACAGTACATAATTATAAAAATTTATATATTAACTTGTAAATATTTATTGGCTGCTTTAGTTAGAGAATCCTTTGATTCTATTACAAAATTTTGGCCATTATCTTCAAACCTAATTATAAATACAGGTTTATTCATTTCATATTTAACCTCACATTCTATTATATGCTTTGACCGTCCTCTGCCTCATCTTGTTTGTATTAAATACTTATCCAGAATCTTATATTTCGGTTTGTTATGAGAGTGTGCTGAGGTATGCTTTTTGGTGAATAAAATCCTTCACTAATAATAGTGTATGTATAAGTAGTATGGTTTTGTTTAAGAGAGAAAGAGTTGTCTTCAGGGTATTTGCTTCGGCTAAGAGACATCCTGGTAGAAAAAACCGTTGGTTGATTTTTTTTTTTTCTTTCCTGCTAGTATGTTTCAGTAAGATATTAAATATATTCATATATGCGTATGTTACTTTTTTTTTTTTTTGAAATCTTCTAATATTCTTTAAATAGTATTACTTCTTCTTACTAATGGTGCCAAGAAGAAATTAAAGTTTTTTTGAAGTCACCTAAAATGCCTTATATAGTATATCGTTCCTCCTTCTTGGAAATGCAGATAAAATAAGGTTTCAGGTGATTCACATGTGTATAGATAGCACAATTACGTTTAAAACAACTTGTTGCCTATATTAATCTATTACTTATACTGAGTCGGTAAAAAGTCTTTAAAACAGGTTCCTTTTTTTACAAGATTCATAGTATTAAGAAGATATCCATAATTTATGTTAAACCAGTACAGTATTGTATAAAAATAGACCTTGAATATATATTACTTTAGGATCCCTATAACAATACTGATTTAACGTAAATTATAAACATCCCCTGATTTAACTACAATCTATATGTAAAATAATTACTAATAAACATTAAAATGATTATTTTGGTGATTAAAAAAAAGACCTGTTTCACAACCCAGTATAAATATAAAGTTATGGGTTTTTACTTGGAGATCAGAAGAAAACTGCATTATTATACAATGTTTATATTTTGGCAAAAAACGGGCTATATTAATTAATCGTTTGTGGAAAGATTTTTATATGCCTTACAAATTTATAAAGCTATCAGGAACTGATTCCGCTTCATTTACAATTCATAAAAAAATGGATTGACTTATTACTTATATCTCATCAAAGTGAACCAAATACAATATCTTTTAAAAAAGATCTTTATTATTCAAATAATCGTTAGCACTGCTGACTAAATTTATATAATCATTGGTATATTTAGTATTTCTCTCAGAATATGCTTTCATTCAATTCATTTGATTTTTATTATCATTAAGCTTGTACTTTTGCTAATGTTATGAACCACATAGTTGTAAGTATAAAATCTGTCGAATAACTATTGAAACTTTAGTATATAAAAGGCGAGTATGATATTACAAAATACGTATTTTAAAATTAATTACTTTGCGATATATCAATAATGGATTATTCTATTTTATGCAACAAGAATATACGAAAACTTACTAAAAAAATTGAGGTCCAAATCAAATGATCTATCTGTATAATTTTACATACGAAAAGACTTTTATTTATTAAAATATATATTAAATTTTTTGTATTCAAGGGCGTTAATCTGTTTGTAGAAAGAGATGAATGGTGAGTAGATCTTAGTAAGTGCCAGCATACGCACTATTAAAACATAGTGCCTATGCCATTTTAATAGAGCACATGCCGACACTTGTAAAGCCCTAATAGTGAAATTCTATAAATAGTGCATATAACTTTAAAGGCGTGATTCTAACTAACTCATCTTTTATCATTTTACATTATAAAAAGGATGAGCTCAAGCCATTTATTTATTTTATGATGAATAGAAATAAAACACCTGTTTTATTTAGAATTAGATGAATAAGACTTATTATTGTTATATAATAAGATAAGTTAAAAGTATTCAATTATTTCCAAAAAAAAATAAAAATGTTTAAAATTAATTTGGATTTCAATTTTAAATTCTTCGATTTATTTGATAATTTGTTATAGTGTTATACAAAACATCAAAATCGCTAAATTTTTCATTTGTGAAATAAAAAAAAGAAGTCAATCCAATCTAATATAGTAGATGATCCAAATAACTAAAAGAAATCTATTCGATAATATTTACACTTTAAGTTGAAGTTTTTAATACAATCATTGACATCCCTATTTTCTCTATTTCTATTTGTTCATCCTTACTACCAGCTTTTTTATAGCATTCAAATGATTTATTAAAATCTTGATTAACTTCTCTTCCATTCGTATTGTCCAAATTAGCTGATCTTATATGACTTCTGGTAAATATCACCATCGTCTTATGTCTTCGTAATAGATTCCTAATTAAAAAATGATACCTTAAATGTATTAGCCTTTTTTAAGTTGATAATAAAATATGATTAATACTAAAGTTTCAAAAAAAAAAAAAAAAATTTAATTTTTGACGAATTAAATACTATTGGGTTATAAAATTTGGAATTTCATTTTTAAATACTGTGCCAATTTGCATTGAGAATACACGAAAATGTTTTTTTCTTTCATAGATTCACTTAAATACCTTTTTTATCTTTGGTGTACATCTTATAGCAGGTTCCAAAATTATTTTATTCTGTAGAATTGTCATCTTCAGCAAACTTTAAATGCCTCAGATGCCTTTTTTATCTTTGGCTATATCTATTCTTCTGTATAATACTTGGTGGGTATTGAGCTAAATGAACATGTTGAATATATTGTATCTAGTGCCATCTTCTTCAAAAGATCATAGTTTTCTGTCCCAGAGTATAAAACAATCATATGGTGATAATCAGCATTGTAAAGATTTGATACATCATCTAGAATCGCACATGTTATCGTTATATGCTTGATTTTTCTATCTATGTTTTGACCATTATCTGATGTTCAGATATGGATTATTGGATTATTTATATTTAAAACTTTATGATTTACAAGGTCTAGAATATTATATTTGAATGTCTTCTTCAATACCTATTCCATATTGATAACAATGCCCAAGATTATATGTCCCATATCTGCAGATTTTTGATAGTATTCGAATGCCTTTTTTAGTATGTCATCTTGTATAAGAACTTCTATTCAAACTTAGACTTAATTAGCATTCATACAAAAAGTATTTAAATATGATTAACTTGACTTTAAAATTAAAAATAAAATAGAATACTGTACTTACTATATATGTGCATATACAAGAGCCAAATCTATTTCATTCCACTAATTTTAAACCCTTTAGTGGAACCTGGGCCTAATATACACTGAGAGGTTATTCAATGAAAGAAAAAAATTTAAAGTGCGTACAAAAAAATTATAGCCGTATTAGCGTAATACTATCAAATTTGCAGTATCGAATTTGATTGGATCTTGAATACGTCAACACATGGGAACCTCCATAGCAAAAGGTGGCAATGGGCCAAAAAATTTTTTTCTTAAAAATGCAATTTCTTGAAGAATTAAAGTAATTGGCATATAATTTTTACAAAATTACAAAATAAAAATTTTTGGCCCATTGCCACCTTTTGCTGTGGAGGTCCCCACATATGATTTGTGTAACAAAAAATTTGGGGTGCATCAAAACAGATCAACAATTCTACAAATTAGCCTATACGCAATTTTCATATTTACATATTAAAATATGAAAGTTAAGATGTCTAGGACATTTATTTTAGTGGTCTTCATAACAGAAAGGTTGATAAAAGGTATCAAGAAGAGAAGGTAGATATTTTTTAAGTTAAAGAATAAACAGTTTTTGAATTTTAGATTAGATTTCATTACAGGTATCTTCTTTGTTTAGTGGGTCTTTGAATTGGTGGTTATATATAAAAAAGAAGTTCTAAACTATTCTTTAAAGTGATCCAATAAGTTTTTAAGTAAGGGAATAAAGAAATTTTTTTCAAAAAGAAATGTGAGTAAGTTGAAGAGTAAGTTGATATTGAATTTGTTATCTGATTTGATAGTTAGATATTTTCCTTTTTTGTTTGTATTAACTATTTGGGAAGAAAATTTATAGGTTTTATAATAGAGGTTAAGGCATTCTGCAAATTTGTTATAATCAATTGCTTAATATATTTCATGAAGAAAAGATGTAGCCTTGCTAGGTTTAAACAAAATTGGAGATGATTTTTGGTTTATAAGAGATAGTTGTAGAAGAAGCAAATATTTCAAGGTAGTTTAGCTTGGTAAAAAGAACGGAAGTAAATTTTTATAGTAATTTTCTTAAGAGTATTTTCAATAATATCAAAAAGGATAGTTGCATGTATATTAATAATATAATTAATTTGGTAAATATAGTTAATAAGAAAAGTTGGTCTTTCTCTTGCCATACAATAAATTATATGAAAAAAGCTAGCTTTTAGAGGTTGCTTGTTTCTTAATACAGTTTTGATAATAGTTCTAGATAAAAGTTGTAAAAGTGCTTTTCAAGAAAGTTACATAGTTGTTGAGAAAAAATAATTTGTAATTTTTTGTTTTCTTCCATTTTCTCAGTTATTAGAAAATTGAAAAGCCAGTTATATATTGGTTTAAGTTTAGAATATTTGATATTAGTTTGAGTTGAAGTTTTTTGTGCGATTGATGAATAAGTTGTTTG